TTTATTGGTGTGATACAAAAAGTAATGTACAAAAATTAACATTTTAATCCCATGATTATTTTATTCAGGTTGAAAAAAGGGCTTTACAAAATGTTATCTGTAAAAATATTTATGAAGTACAAAATGTTTTATGAACAAAGACATACAAAGTATTCAAATTCTTAAACTGGCAATAAAAATGTTTAAATACTATATGCGTTATGCCACACTCTTAGGCATTTCTATGTTGCAAAAAGCACTCCAACACTGACTCAAACCAACCACAAAGAAACACCTTTAAAACAACCAATTCTATGGTTTATTAATATAAAGACACACAAACAATAAATCTAGAGTACCAAAAGCATAAACTGAAAAAGCCCAGCGGTACCCATTCCCATAAGCCTCTCTGCAGGACGCCATGAGGTCATCATTCCCATGTCAGTTTGGTTCATTAAGCTAACAAATGTAGCACATCTGGGGCAGAAATACAGGACAGAAGAGGAAAAGAGACAAACGGTACAAGGAAACACATACAGCCGTAACACATGGCATTGTGCACATTGGCCTTATGAGGGCAGTATTGGTTCACTGTTGCGTTTGGCAATCACTTCTGCTTTGTGCCATTTTCTGTTCAAAGGCAGATTGCTGTAAATGTTTCTTAGCTCTAACATAATATGGTATTGTCTAAAGTTGGTAATGCAAGGTACACATCTGGTTACTAGAAAAAAGCCAATAAATTAATTACTAATTGGTTTCATAAACATCCCAAAAGAATAATAATTAAAGCAAAGGCCATCTGATTCTAGGAGCCTAGGAGCCCTTAAACATATGAACATTTTTCATTCCTGTAGGATGCATGACAGTGATTTGTGGGCTGACAATCGACAAGGAATTTTCAAACAAAACTTGTCACTCCAGATTAACCTCTCTGGATGCCAGGCCTCTAAGCTGTGTTTTTCTCAAGCCTCATCCTGCTGTGTCTCCCTCTCTCCTTCATGACTGTCAACCTCTCCACGTATTTCCTCATAGCCTCTAGTTGTCCTAAACCCAGACAGCCTCCTCCTTCTCTTCACCAGGAGTACTGCCAATACCACCAGGACCATTAAACCTATCACACCAAAGGCAACCCCTGCTTTTTCTCCACTAGACATCTGATTCAGTTCAGGATTAAGCTTCTTTAAAATGTCCTTGATTTCCTCTGGTTTGGCCAGTTTCCACGCCTTGGTCTGCCCCACTCTGACCCAGCTCTTATCTCCTTCAGTCATCACAAGGACCGTGTTTGTGGCTTGCATGCTCACAAGAGGACGTTTAGTGAAAGGAGGCAGATGGATCGGAAGCAGCTGCCCACCTGTGAACAGTCCTGACTGGACACAGTAAAGAATTTCACAGCCGTCGCTCACTGTAGCGAGGTGCTGACTGAACTTGGGAGGACAGCGACGTTGGAACCCTGCTAATGGGTTGCTTGACTGACAGCTGAAGAGGCCTCCAAATGGTACTGAATATCTGGTGGCAGTTTCATAGTCGTTACTCACACAGATCACTTGGCCATCTGAGAGAAACTTTACTGGAATGAAGTTCGGGGGGCAGCTTTTGGCATTGGTGAGGGGGTTCAGCAGAGAGGGGCTATATATTCCCCCAAACAGATACCCTGAGTTTTCTGGGGCCTGTCCGTTTACAGAGCACCAGTAGGTGTTGATGCGAGCAGAGCGAACGTGGTAGTTGTCCTGACACACTTGACGATGACAATCGAAAAACCCAAGAAACCCGCAACTGTAGGTTTCATCATAGCAGTCATACGTAGTGTAACCCTGCTGTCTTTCTTCTGACCTCAGTAAATTGGGGGAGTAAGGCGGACGACAGGAGAAGTCACCTGTTTCGGGGTTTTTCTGGGCCAGGGCATCACATATAGGACCTGCATCTGAGCTAAGGGGAATACACTGCTGGTAGACACCACCAAAACTAAGGTTTGTAGCGGGGCCCTCACAGGATGCATCATCAACGTTGGCTTGAAAGTTAAAGTTCTTGGAGTCGATGTTGACACATCCAGGCCGCGTGTTGACCTTGTAGTATCGCTCTATGGCCTGACTCACTGTAACAGCCACTTTGCCAACTGTAGGCTGTGGCAGGTCAGGGAAGGTGTTGGTATTTATAAAGTAGTGCAGGGGAAATCCTGACCGATCAATAGCCACCAGGTTGTTCCTGGTACTTTCCTGCCACTTCTGCAGAGTGATGCCAGGATAGAAAGGTGTGCCGCCACCGTGGCTTTGGATAAGAGAGTACTGAATGTTGGACTGATACGTTTGAAGTGATGAGCTCTGTTGGGCACTTTGACTGCTTATGTCAAACTTGAGTTTGTCAAAAAAGTTTAACCCTGCCTGTGCTTTGATTGAGGAACTTTCTGCCACACTGTCCGACACGTATGAGGAACGGAGGTAGTCTTCCTGCACCAAAGTAGCCCCCGCATCGACACTAGTGATAACATGGGTTCCATAGTCCAGCACCATCTTCTCTGAGAGATAGTTTGCATTCCTTGTTTGGTTGTTTTCAATTGCATCAGCTATCTCTTTGGCTTGTTGAGCAAAGCGAGCGTCCAGAGTGAAGTCCGGATAAGCCTTAACTGTGTAGATGAAGTTACGAACCTTTAAGGAAAAAAATTAGATTCCATTATGTTGTTTGTTTTTCTTGTTTTTTATTTCAACTTATATATTTTTAATTCCTTTTCCTTATTTGCTTTTTAAGGTGACATCCATAACATCTATTTGGAACTAAAGATAAGACATTGACTTCAGGATCAGACAGGCACATTTACGGCATTCTTGTTTAGTACACTGCCTCTGTTAAATTGCCTATAAATACATCAAATATTTAAGGCAACTCACTTTTAACATTTTTTTATTAACCAAATACATAAGTAATCAATGGTATTACTTTTTTTTATACATAAAAAAGATTTGGGACATTATTTGGCTCCTGATCCACAATTGTTGTAACAAATATATGTGCTTTTTATTGTATTCATCCAAACTATGGAAATTAAAGACTTACTTGCACTCTGGCTGTAGTTGAAGAGTCTTTGACCTGATGGGTTTTCATCCTCTGGTTCTCTGTAGAGAATTTCCCATTCAGCACTGGGAGAAAGGATATGTCTGCATTTATGGAGTGAGATGTAGAGCTTTTCTGCTCCAGCCAGGAGTTGATTATCTCTGAGTTTGTCTCCACACCCGTCTCCTTGTGGGGAATGACAAACACCTCATCTGGGATGAGGTAGAGCCCATCCTCAGTGGTCTGGCACTGGAAGTAGCTGAGGTTCATGACTCGGCCCATATCCATGTTGCGGAGATTGTCCCAGCCTCCGCCTGGCAACACCTCCAGTGCTGTGATGGAGAGGTTGGTGGAGGCGCGACATTGTCTGAGCCAGTTGATGGGGCGTCCAACAGGGACTGAAGAGCAGACATGAAGGAGAGAGACAGCTAGAAGGGTCACTGCTGCCTTCATGATGACTGTGTCAGAAAGGGCTGAGACAACTGAATATAAAGTTCAAGCCAGGTTCCGCCTCCTCATATGCAGTGTATCATATGACAAACAAGAACATCCTGTTTAATATATGGAGGGGAAGGATGAGGTTTCACTTTTCTGTGTTGAAGTAATTTGTTTACCCAAAGTACATATACTGCAGGCTACTTATTAACAGAAGAAATAACTCAGTTGGCCCGGTCTAAGGGTTTCACCTAAATTCTCTTACTTATTTATGCCTAAACTTATTTTCTATCACAAAAAAGATAACTTCACAGTATAACATAGCCATATAGTTAAATGCAATATTATAAACCTATAGTAGAAGATGTTTTGGTAAGAGCCATAAACCTGTTTCATATACAGCAGTTATGTGATTTATGTTATCTTATCGTTTAAGTGATTTAAAGATGTGATTTCTCAGTCACTGCATGCTCTGGTGATGAAAGCTCATAGTGTCGAAATTAACTGCAATTGATAATAAACAGTCCACCCAAGAGTAAAATGCAGAAGTCAGTGAGAACCTGCCTAAACATGTACAAGTATAAGTAAATAAGACCACTTTGCAGTGTGACGACAAACACCATAGCCTTGATTTGTTTAAAAAAAATAAAAAATTAAAAAATTAAAAAAGTCAAGCGTTTTTGTTTTACTCTACAGCAGTGCACACACTGGGAAAGTTTGGGTGCACTTGTCTGTCATCTACAGTATGTTTTGGTTCTGTTTCACACTATTTCTCTCTCACTTTATTCTCCAACCCAAAATGCAAACTTCTACATTTGAAAGCAGAGTAAGTGAGAAAAAAACGATCCATTTAGTTGTTTTATATTAATTTAATTTGTAGTTAAATGCAGCACATAAGAGTTTAATTGACATAAATTTTTAAATCCTGTCAATTTTAAAAACATGACAAAAAATAAGTACAAAAAATAATAATTTCTAAATTTAATGCTTATTTTATTCATGTTTTGACAAATCTTCACAAAATTCTAATGAATTATCTTTTAAAGTATTTATAAAACATTAAGTGTTTTATGAATGGTACGTTGATACAAAGTCAGCCAGCATTCACATTCTTAAATGGAATAAAAATGTACCATTCAGTGCATATCTAACATAATTTGACATTGTCTAATTTCGCATGTGCAAAATGCATTTTACTTATGCTAAACACATCTTAAAGCGCTAATCCTGCTATCAGGAAAAAATGCCTACCAATAAATGTTTTGTTAAAACTATTACATTTACTTCCCATAGCAGTTGTTAAATATCAATTACTAATTGGTTTCATAGACATTTCAAAAGAATAATAATTAATGGAAAGTCAAACTGATTCAAACTTGGAGCCCTTAAATTTGAACATTTTCCACTCCCATGAGATGCCCCTAACATGACAATCAACAAGAAAGTTAAGAACAATAACTTGTCACTCCAGATTAAACTCTCTGGATGCCAAGCCTCTAAGCAGTGTGGGTTTTTTTAAGCCTTATCATGCTGTGTCTCCTGACTATCAACCTCTCCACGTATTTGCTAATAGCCTCTAGTTGTCCTAAACCCAGACAGCCTCCTCCTTCTCTTCACCAGGAGTACTGCCAATACCACCAGGACCATTAAACCTATCACACCAAAGGCAACCTCTACTTTTTCTCCACTAGACATCTGATTCAGTTCAGGATTAAGCTTCTTTAAAATGTCCTTGATTTCCTCTGGTTTGGCCAGTTTCCACGCCTTGGTCTGCCCCACTCTGACCCAGCTCTTATCTCCTTCAGTCATCACAAGGACCGTGTTTGTGGCTTGCATGCTCACAAGAGGACGTTTAGTGAAAGGAGGCAGATGGATCGGAAGCAGCTGCCCACCTGTGAACAGTCCTGACTGGACACAGTAAAGAATTTCACAGCCGTCGCTCACTGTAGCGAGGTGCTGACTGAACTTGGGAGGACAGCGACGTTGGAACCCTGCTAATGGGTTGCTTGACTGACAGCTGAAGAGGCCTCCAAATGGTACTGAATATCTGGTGGCAGTTTCATAGTCGTTACTCACACAGATCACTTGGCCATCTGAGAGAAACTTTACTGGGATGAAGTTCGGGGGGCAGCTTTTGGCATTGGTGAGGGGGTTCAGCAGAGAGGGGCTATATATTCCCCCAAACAGATACCCTGAGTTTTCTGGGGCCTGTCCGTTTACAGAGCACCAGTAGGTGTTGATGCGAGCAGAGCGAACGTGGTAGTTGTCCTGACACACTTGACGATGGCAATCGAAAAACCCAAGAAACCCACAACTGTAGGTTTCATCATAGCAGTCATACGTAGTGTAACCCTGCTGTCTTTCTTCTGACCTCAGTAAATTGGGGGAGTAAGGCGGACGACAGGAGAAGTCACCAGTTTCAGGGTTTTTTTGGGCCAGGGCATCACATATAGGACCTGCATCTGAGCTAAGGGGAATACACTGCTGGTAGACACCACCAAAACTGAGGTTTGTAGCGGGGCCCTCACAGGATGCATCATCAACGTTGGCTTGAAAGTTAAAGTTCTTGGAGTCGATGTTGACACATCCAGGCCGCGTGTTGACCTTGTAGTATCGCTCTATGGCCTGACTCACTGTAACAGCCACTTTGCCAACTGTAGGCTGTGGCAGGTCAGGGAAGGTGTTGGTATTTATAAAGTAGTGCAGGGGAAATCCTGACCAATCAATAGCCACCAGGTTGTTCCTGGTACTTTCCTGCCACTTCTGCAGAGTGATGCCAGGATAGAAAGGTGTGCCGCCACCGTGGCTTTGGATAAGAGAGTACTGAATGTTGGACTGATACGTTTGAAGTGATAAGCTCTGTTGGGCACTTTGACTGCTTATGTCAAACTTGAGTTTGTCAAAAAAGTTTAACCCTGCCTGTGCTTTCATAGAGGAACTTTCTGCCACACTGTCCGACACGTATGAGGAACTAAGGTAGTCTTCCTGCACCAAAGTAGCCCCCGCATCGACACTAGTGATAACATGGGTTCCATAGTCCAGCACCATCTTCTCTGAGAGATAGACGAAGAATTAAGGCAAGTCTGTAGCCAAAAGGGGGTCCAACCCGGTACTAGCAAGGTGTAAATAAACAGGAAAAAGAACTCGGTAGGCCAAAGTGGTATTACCTAAAACGTAGCATATAGGTTTTTTTTTTACTTTTACGACGATGGTAAACTTCACTGACTTCCTCTTATCAAAGGGAACAGAAAGCTGACGAGGAAACAAGATCTACTAATAAAAAAAGGGAAGTAGCTTTGTTTTCACATGTGAACTGTCACATGAGTGTACGTCACTGGGAAAGTCATGAGAATTTCTGACTGACTCACCACCCATCAAGCCTTGACAAGTCTGAAATTTGGCAAAGTACAAAAGATGAAAAACAATACAGGAATAAACAGGATCATAAAGGACAACAACAGTAAAACAGATTAACTGCACTATACTTACATGTTCTGTTAATAAGCTGATAATAATTAGCCTACTATTTTTTTACTACATACAACTTAATAATGTTACTGCTTTGTTTACTTACAAAGTATTTGTCATTCTCTTATAACTATCTTCAGAATACCATTTTCATTTTTCAGCTGCATTTCTATATAAAATAGCAGTAACACTTGATAATACAGCCTGCAATTTACTGTGTAATTTGGTGTAATTTTGTTGTATGAATTACAAATTAAGAGGAAAGGGAAATGAATTATACTATGAGTATTTCTCTAAATATAGGGTACCATACGTGATACAGTACAGATAAACCAAGCTGAATGGTTGACAACAATGACATCCTGTGCTACCCATTAAGGAGTTGTATTACAAATTGTGATGTTCTACCAAAACATAATACACTAATGGATGGAGTGGAATAATAAACCTTTTGCCCTTCTTGGCAGTTGTGACAATCCTTTCTTACCTTCAGCAGGCCAGCTTCACTACATGGATTTATTATATCTATGGCTTCTACTTCAATGTATGATCTGGAATAATAACAAGTTGAGAAATAGTTCTATACTTGTGCTCTTAGAAGGCACGTTTGTCCAGCACTGCAGCAGCTTGTAACAGGTAGAGAGGAATGGAAAACAAAATTACCTTTCTGTAGAGCACAGCTATAGAAAGTTTGTGTTGTCATGATAACATAATACAGTGTTATGTCATGTTATAATTTAACATGAAGATGAGGATGGACCAAACAGCTAAAACTGAACATTATAACATTCAAGATGATGTTCAAGGAACCAAGAGATTATTTTCATGCATTTTCATTTCAAGAATAAGGAAGGCAGACAGTTTTAAGATATCTGGACTGTCTGGACTCTGCCCTTTTAACAACATGATGTGCAGGACAATAAGAGTCAAGTGTTTTAATCCATTTGCTCTTTAATTACACAACAATTAGGCATGTGGGCTGGCTTATAAAGTGTTACCAGCTCATTACAAAATGTATATGTATACATGTATATTTGAGTTTTAATGGGAAACAGTAAGTTAAAAATGGGTTGCATCCAAGCAGAACAGCATTTTATAAAAGTAGGTCCAGAGCTGCCAAATTTGAAATGTAACAATAAAATATGAACGTAATACAAAGGGACCTTAGGTAAACCTCCCCGACCAATACACTGTCCCGACTGCGGTTGGTTACAGAATCCGGCCAGAAGGTGGCAACAAGAGCCCATACAGCTGGTGAACCTTTCAGTAGTGCGAATCACACCATTGTTTTGCTGTATAAAATGCCTTCACTTTAGGGGTTCAAGACCTCATTACTTCAGCTTATAGCCTCCAAAGGCTCTAAATTGTGTATGAATGGGGGTCATTGATTTTTCTCACATTTGTTTCATTGATTTGACTCCATACTAGTCGAAATCCCTCCTCTCTGTTTACCGCTACTTTTTCTCATGTCAAAATCCCTCAGAGTCCACTAGCCTCTTTCATCTGTTACATCATATATGAGGATGGTATGCCTAACTCATCGGCCGGGCATAACTATCGCTTCTCCCGCATTGAAACATTGGCATGTGTTTTTCTGCTGAAGATAAGAGAACGAACCCCCAACGAACACGGCTTGTCACGCCCGTCAAGCCTCACTGTTTTCAATGATGATTAGCTGGCCAATGTCATCGGCTGCTGTTTCATGGCCAGCCAAGTCCCGCTCAGCATTCTGCCAATGTCAATCTTCACTTCAAATTGGCGCAAATAAAACTAAGAGAAACTTTACACACTGTATGCTAGTACAGGGTTTTGAATCGAATTCAGGTAACTTTTCAACAAACTCTTACCAGCATATGTCTGTTTGCATCTAATCTGTGACCAAGTAGCTGTTTGTGTCCCGCCACTTCACAACAAACGCCTTGATCCACGTGCGTAATGTACGGTGCGTAACAGAGCCACACAAACGTCCCGGGCGCAGTCACTCATTCACAGTCAACTCAGTGGTGAGCAGTAAATTCAGATTTTGGACACTTGCTAATCATCATGATTTTGCGTCACCGCTGACAGCTGTCGCACAAAGGTAATTTTCGCAGCGTTGCATCATGGAATTTTTAGCAGAATTCAGACGGACCCTTTTTTCGATCCACTGAAAAATGTGAGGACCCTGTATGTAAAATACTACATAAATGTACACACTTAGAATACGGACACTGAAATTAAAGAGCGGACAATAAATATATTGCATTGTGTAGTAAATAGGAAGACACAGCCAAAACCTTCACCGTTTTGATAGTTACGAAGTCTTTGCCTGTGTATGACCATCAAATATAATTTCTTTCTGGCTCAATGATGTTTCTCTGTTTAATTTTGTCTACAGCTGAATGTTCCTATCCAGAAAGTTTTTGCATCAACAGAGCATATAAGGATATAGTTTGATGAAGTTCTTTTTGTTGTTTATAACAATCACAGGACTCCCTCTATATATTATAATTTTTTTTATTATTGTTTCCAGCAATTGCAAATAAATTCTTAACAGACCATAGCAGGTGGTGGCAGGGAAAGGGGTGTTAAAACAGCAGGTTCAATATTTCCTATAATGGAACAACTGTAAAACAGCTAAAGCAAAGTTCAGTTCTTGGAATGAATGCAGACATTTAGTCCACACAGGAGCCACCATACCGGTGTTTGGTCAGCACTCAGTGTTCATTAGAAGAGTTTTTTTCACTTCTTGGCAGAAGCCCTGGTCCTGGTAGACTTGGCGACCTTGCGTTTAGCCTTCTTAGGACTCTTTGGCTTTTGGGGCTTCTTGGCGGCAGCAGGCCTCTTGGCTTTCTTAGGACTCTTTGCCTTCCTCTTTTTCTTAGGTGACTTCTTGGCTGCTGGAGCGGCACCTCCGGCTGCTTTCTTGACGCTGGCCCGCTTGACCCTTTTAGCCTTTGGCTTCTTTTTCACCACCTTCTTCTTTCGAGGTGTGGGGGGCTTCTTGTTCAGCTTGAAGGAGCCCGAGGCCCCTGTGCCCTTCGTTTGGACCAGAGATTTATTGGCCACCAAGCGCTTGATGGAGACAAGGATTCTGGCCTTGTTCTTCACCACGTCGTATCCTCCGGCCTTCAGTGCCTTCTTCAGGGCTGCCAGGGACAGGCCGCCGCGCTCTGTGGACGCGGACGCGGCCTTCAGTATCAGGTCTGACACTGTGGGGCCCGTCTTCTTCCTCAGAGACTTGGCTCTCTTCTTGGGAGATTTGGCCGGAGCCGCCGCTGGCAAAGCAGTCACAGCAGAAGACATTGTAATAGCATCAAGTGAGTGAGATCCACGGAGAGGAAAGGACAGAGTGATATCTCTGCTTGCCCTCTTGGCAGGTGTGAGGCTTTATGAAGCCCTGATGAGAACCGTGGAGAGTGAGGCTCGCCACCACAGTGCGCCTCGTATGCCCCCCTCAAACATGATAAAGTTTGTGTTTTCTCCAGCTGGATTATTCCTTAAAATCCCTGCGTAAAATGCTGGATATCCATATAAAATGCACATAATAAAAATCAGCGTGATCTCAACTGTGTAAATCTATCTTTTTATTTAGGCATTCAATACAATATAACAAAATTTGTAAAAGTTAAATTACATGCTGGCAGTTGTAAAGTGTGACATGAGACGTATGTTTTGAACATTTTAACAAAGTTACACCTTCTAAATAACCAAGTGCAGACTTTTATAAGTAAATGAGCTTAAATAATAATGTGGCTGATATACTGGCTCCAAAACTTACTTTCATTTCAACAGTTTTTGCTTATTAAATTCATTTAAAGATGCCCGAAGAAACACAGCTGCCTTGCAGAACCGCCATGTAGTAACCTCAACATAGATATATATATTCCTGCAATACAGAAGCAGGACAGTTTTCATGAAAGTGTGAGGGGAAAAAAAAGTTAAATAACAGGGAATTGAGTTTTATGTCAGATGTTATATTGTGAAAATATTAATGTAGGCTACTGTATGTCTCCTCTGTGTGGAGGGAGATGGACCGCAGCCAGAATAAGAGTTATCAGCCGGGACAGCAGGAGAAACAAATTTAAGATTAATTTTCCCGGGTCTTTTTAAACTTTTTCACTCTTTATCAAATGACCACTGATGGGTGCATTTGCATTAGTATGTAGCCTATGCATGTGTCAATCTATGGTTTGGCAACCACTTTAACCGTTTGAACTAATCATGCATAGATAGATTTAATGCAAGTGCAAAGGAATCAATGAAGAAATGACATCACACTGCCCATATTGCTCTGACCGTCTTTCTTCAGTCTGCTGTGCTTTTTGGTAATGAAGAGCACAAAATAATGCACCTTACAGTATGGTTCGTAGAAGACTAGGCCTACTGGATTTCAAACAAATAGTACTTTACTTTATACATCGTTATTATACATTATTATTGTTATTATTATTATTATCATTATTATAAATGCGGGTATGCTTTCTGGTGTGTTTACAAACAATAGTATCTCAAATTGTGACTAACTTGTATTAGTCCTTAAAGTTCACGATTGTGCCTTTAAAAAAATACACTTTAAATGTAGAACTTAAAACGTGACTCTGCTGCAGTGTAGCTCTTTGATATTCCTCCAAAATGCTTGAATAAATTGCAATTTAGCCTATCTCTGTCTCTCTTTCGCGATTTCTGCCTCTTTTTCTTTTTTTTATTACTGAGATAAAGTGTGTGTGTGTGTGTGTGTGCGCGCGCGCGCGCGTGCGTTGTGAGGAAGAAGATTGGCAAATGTTGTCCCGCCTTCTGTAGTGCACTGATAGCGCCGCCTTCTGTTACACACAAATATACAAACAAACACACAGAGACACACACACAGAGAAGGCTATTACAAGTGAGTGGGTAAAATCACTTTCAATAAAAATGCAGTTGGCCTGTCTATGTTAAGTCAGTGCCCTCTCAAGTAGACCTACCATTTAAAGTGTCCACTGAAGGTCATGTGTGTTTGGCACCCATTAAAAATCATCTTTAGTCTTTTCACTATATAAGAGAAACCTTTAAATCCACCCTGACACTACACAGTGAATGAAACACACACATCACCTCAGATAAAGTTGTAATAATTTTAAAAGGGAACTTAAATCGAGAGTGGGAGAAACGCTTTTATAGACACATGCTACAGAAGGCCAAATACTTTGAGCTGCTAGAGGCCTGCAGAGGGAATGGGTGGAAGGCTCGCTGTGAGCCATGTGGATCGAGGTGGACTGCAGGGCATTCCCAGGCCAGTCTCTGTGCTGGGCACTCAAGGTTCTTTGGCACTGCATAAAAGAAGAGTCACCAGGAACACTGGTGGATCACTGAAGCTGCGGAAAAAGCTTCAAGGTGATTGTGGATCAAGAGGGGTGATCTATGGTGTACTGTAGTGTGCCGCTTGAACACAAGCCAGGTGCTGATCACTCCTGGTTAGGTCGCCCAGGTTGAGGGAGTCTGATGATCAAAGACCTGAAACACCCGATGACTCTGGGTTCATCACTGATGATGTGTCCAAGCCGCATCATCTACATACAGATGGTGTTTTTCCTAACTAGATACAGGTTGGATTTGACTGTGTCATTATAAGAGTTTATTGACTGACATGTTGTCCCCATAATTATACCGCCTATAAAACTATTAATAATATAATATTTGCTGGAACTGTTTCAGATTCCCTGCTCTGTTTTTTCTGTTTTTCTTGTCTGTGTCAGAAGAGCAGCTGTTACATGTATTCCCTCAAATGTCCAAAGTAACTTTTTACACGTGTCAGTGGATTCAATTACCAGCATTCAGCCCACTGTAATACAACTGAGGCACATATTCGATACAGGTTGCAGTTAATACCGTTTAGATGTCCACTGTGATTTATTGGCACAGTCTTCTCCTTTTCTGTCAAAGGAGATCAATAATTCCCGTCATTGCTATGAACTGCTGAGGAGCAGAACAGCACCTTAAATTACATAACCCTGTCTGCTAAATTGTGGTGTCTTTTATAATATGTTGTTGAAAATTGTAGCGTCTCTTAAATTGTGTTGTATCATATCCAATTTCAATGTTTGGCTGTGTTACCTTATACTGTGATGACCTGACAGGGGACTACAGATGTAAAATAGCCTTTGGGCTAATTCTGGTTTATTTACATTGCTGAAAAGCTAAGATGTCCATTAATATGCACAAATTGTAGCATCTCTTAAATTTTTTATTTAAATAAATAAATAAAAAATAAAAAAAAAAGAAGAGGGGAGTGAATCCAGATTCATGACAGCCTCACAATTTCTTTGAAAAGTTATTTCTCAATCATGTGCTCGATTAGTGCACAGATTGTAGCCTAATATGATTGCTGTGTAATGAATAACTTCTAAACTATCCTAAGCTAAGACATATTAAATATGTTTTATCGAAGTGCTCAGACCAGAATAAAATCCCTTCAGTATTAAACGTTTCTGAAGGAGTGGTTAGGGCGTGATAATGACATCCTGCGCTCTGCCACAAACAGTAGGCTTGCCTAATGAAGAGTATGAGTCAAATCCGTCCGGTGTTCAGACATGATTTAGTATCATCACTATGGAATATACTAAACTTCTCCCGCTTTGTGCTGCAGCAGTGAAAGGTGCAAAAGGTGGGAATGCTGGGGGGCGGGGGCTGTTCTGTTTCATCGCTCTCCTCCCCGAAGCATGTGACCATGTGATCACAGTCGGACAGATTGAGAGAACTTGTGATCAAGGCAGCAGCAGAAGCAGTAGGAACAGCTCGGCGCCCCGCGAGATAAAACTCGACCGCAGGAGCAACACCACAGCCATCTTTCAATCTGTCCTGCTCCGTCAAACAACATGGACTGCGGAATTTTCACGTCCAAGGCCGTCCTCCTCTTCCTCAGCTTCGTTTTTGCGGTAAGTCTCGGTGCTATCGCTCCACCTGCACAGATTTAAATACATAGGCTGCTGGCGGCTTCCTTTGATGGAGAAATGAAGTGAACAATTGTTTGCGCGTGGCTTTGTGACAGTACAGCCTTGCCTTTTTTCTGTGTATAATCTCCATTTGTTATCTCGCCGTCTGTGAGTAGGCTAGTGTGCTTTAAAGGTGTTTATTCTGCAAATCACAGTAAGGACTTGGAAAAACCGCCCGCCCCAGTTTTCTGGCATCACTATTGGCTACTTCCTCATTTTAACTGCACCTAGATATAGTTAAAATGTGCGTAGTTACTTTTTAAAGAGCTCGGTTATGACTAACATTTCCAAATAACGTAGATTTCATATTTCAGAGGAATGTTGACTTACTTGATTTTTTTTTTTTTTTTTTTTTTTTTTTTTTTTTTGCCAGTCAGCTTGAACTTTGCCTCAGTCAAAGTTTGACCAGAGATCACATATCTGCCTTTGTTTTCTCTCCATTTGGCCTGTGCTGGCAACAGATCTCCTCTGTCTCCTTCAGATGAAATGGTTTTTGAAGGGACCAAGTAAACTTTTCTGCCTGTGTAATTTGATTACTGTGAGAGGGAGCTGGCCTATGTGTGCATGGTACAGCAAGGAATGTTAATATTGTTTGTCTTTTTGTGTCGACCAAAACCTCTCAAGGATATCTTTTTGAACAAGATGGACAGTAATTGGGCAAGGGAGAGAGTTTAATTTCTTAAAAAAAACAAAACATAATTCAATCAAAATATTAAATTATTCTTTAAAAGTCTGCCTGTCACAGTTTGTCTTTGCAAAATCATATTATGCACATAATCAGAGTACAAATTATCTTGAAGATCCCTAAAGTTTCAAAATATATTTTGTAGTCAATTTAGTGCAAAATGTGTAGACAATGATCCAATTAATTTCTATTTAACAGTGTTGCTCTCTTGGTATTACTTAATCAGTGTATGTATCTGATTGTGTTTTCTCTAAACAAAAGGGATAATTTAAGGGGAAAATCAAAATTTCAAAGGTTAATGTGTTCTGAATGTTTCGAAGCACATGAGCAGAAACATCCTTCCCAGTTTGCGTAGCTTACAACATGTCTTCCCCCTAGAACCTGGTCTAAGATACAGTGCTAGTGTGTTTTTTGTGCAGCGACTGAAATCATCCCCACAAGTCAAACATCACCTCAGAGGTTTCTCACATTCCAGAGAGGGGACACCGTGCATCAGCACTATATGTTGTGTAAGCCTCTTTGTGCTGCTTCTTAGGCACAAGATTGGAATATCTGGAAAGATTATGGGGGTGGGAGGGGGTGTAGAGCAACTACCCCACGGGAATCTCGTGACTATGGAGTGATTAAGAGAAGTGAGTCATGAGGCTGAAGTGGAGGATGAATGATTGTTCGGCCACACAAAACACACATAAGAACAAAGACGAGCACACAATCTATAACCACTCACCTCAGTACAGGGGAAGTAGTACTGAAAATGACACGGATATGCAGACACGCATGAAGGGGAATTTCTTTTTTCTTTTATATTCTCATGTTCCTGTGGTGTCACTGACTTATAAATACAGGAACTAACTAAAGCTTTATTGCAGACTGAAGTTTGAATCAAGTCTGTCAAAGGGCAAAGGAAAGACAGGAGTGCTGATAAGCAGATAGATAGTTTAGAGCGCTTGTTTTCCCTAACAGTTGTCACTGTTCATGAAGTCTCTATAGTTTAGACCCTCTTGACTTCTGGGTTTTTTGACCCGATAGTTAAATACTTTTTTTTTCTGTCCCATTTACATGCAGTCATATGATTGCTGAGCTCACTTCAGGAATGACTGATTAGGATGTGACCTAATGCCTAATCCAAATCTGACCCCACCGGGACACACTATCAGCGACCTTCACAAGCTGCGATCACAGAAGATCACACCACATAACAACAGAACAAATCTTTTTATGCTTACCTAACAGTATTATAATAAGCAGCTTTGTTCTCTCTCTCTGTTTGTTGGTATTCATCATAGGTAACCTCCCGCATGTTGCTATCTTTCCCATGGGTTTTACCTGTGTCTTTTAGACAGAGAAAGACCAAAGTGACTGACGAAGGTTTCAAAAACGGTCATTTTGGCAATTTGATGTACAGAATATGACCGTGAGGTTTTTTAACTCCAACACTGAGGAAAAACACACAGATTGTTTGAAAAATCCCTTCAACTGTATGAGTGGCTTTGTTTATGCAGCACCTTGGTTTGTTAAATGCAAAGTCTAAGCATGTTTTTAAAGCAGGAATGATTCATGATTGTTGACTCATATGGTACAGACCTAAATAACTTGAGCGCACATAGCTCTGTACCATGCTTAGCTTGGTGTATAATGAGCTGTAATTAAAAAATGTCAGCAGCTAAAAGTGTATACAGATCAATAGTGTTCATTTCTGTAAGATCCTTATATTTGTGTTTATTCCTGGAATAACAACTACAGTATATTAAACATACAGAATAATGTACTTGTTTCTCCTGATGATTAACTTTACTGGTTATATATGTAATAATAAAAGCCTTTCTGTCTGTATGCAGACATGTTAAATGTTTATTTTCTCCATACTGTCTTGTCAATTGTGAATTATCACTTTGACCTGTTTATGATGTTGATGTCTTATTCTCCCTGCAGCTTGCAGGAGGGGCGTTGGCCTACGTCGGTGCCTATGTGATCAAGAGCTATGACAACTTTGAAAACTTCATTCAGGACAAGTACACGTTGATCCCAGCAGCTATCATCCTCGGCGTCAGCGCACTGATGTTCATTATTTTTCTGGTGGGATGCTGCGCCACACTTGGGGAGTCCAAAGTCTGCCTTAGCTTTGTAAGTGTGTGTGTTTGGCAAGAGAGAAGCCATGATTTGGGTTTTAGTCATCTTCCCTGACACCTGTTTATTTGTCAGACTCTGTAGCTACATGCTCAGCTGTAAAGACCGAAGGTGAAAATGCATCTGCAAACATTTGTTGTCAGTTGCAATGTGTCATCTTCCATGTTTAACTTTTGTTTTCCCCTTTGCTTTTGTTTATCCTTTCACTTCTGTTTTGCACACGGAATTTCTTAACATCAACTCTCATTTTCTTCCTCTCCAGTTCTTTCTGATCATCATGGTGATCTTTGCAGCTGAAGTGGCGGCTTTGGTATTTAGCTTCATCTACCAAGGCAAGGTGAGTCACAGAGAATTGGTGTCACACAGTGTTTGCAGCTGACGGTAAATTATGTTATCCATCATTTTTAAATCTGCTATGAGTTCATTAGTAAAGTATGTGTTATTGTCTTGTGTCTGTCCAGATAAGCGGAGACCTGGAGCGCTCAATGAATGACGTCTTCACAAAGTATGATGGACAGGACACTGAAACCAAAGCTGTGGACTACCTGCAGAAACAAGTTGGTGATCTATATAAATAGCTTTGGTTTCTCACCTGCACTTTCATTCTCTTCAACCTCTTCTGCTTTGCTTGCATTCTCTCTCACTTTCTTGCTTTCATTTCCCTCTCCAGTTCTTCCACTTTAGGGGGGGGGGGGCGGCATCTTGGTAGCAACAGCTAAAACACAGTATGAATATTCATCCTTATAATAATTTTGCAGTTTGTTGATGGAAGATTGTCAAGTTATATCAAATACATCATGGTATTTGTAGCATAGCTAAAATTAACCGTGAGAAACAATACAGACAAATAAAAAATATACCATCCATAAATGAGTACTGTGCTTTCCAACTACATACACGTAAAGCACCAGATTCACACCTCTGGGGTTTGTCGAGTCATTCTGGTAAATGCAGGAAATTGTTCACAGAAGTGAAAGTGTGTGCAGCTTAAGAAATAAAAAAGACTTCACACATCCCTAAATTACCTGTTAATTTATCTCACAATCATAGGTTTTTTAAACTCCTTTTCATACAGTGTCACTCTTTCCTTTTCTTTCCTTCACTGTTATTTGTTATTTCTTCAGACTCCTTGAGTTCTCTGTTAAAGCCTCTGTCTGATCTTTCCTTGTCCCGGTGTAGTTGCGGTGCTGTGGTGTCAGAAATTACACCAGCTGGTCCAACACTACCTGGTTTAGCAGCCACAACAACACAGTGCCTCTGTCGTGCTGTAAAAACAGCACCAGCACACAGTGCACTGGCAGACTGGATCAACCAGACCTGCTTAACATCGAGGTAAGTCATACACAAGCACACAGCAAAGAATCAAATGGTCTCCCACCTCCTGAAGCAATAAAACAAGAGCTACATTTCCTATCTATGTGCACTCACTGTACTTGTGCACACATTTTAGGGTTGTGAGTCCAAGCTGAATAGTCTCCTACAGGATGTGCTGGGTTACGCCATGCTGGTCATTCTGGGCTTCGCCATCATCAAGGTAAAGACAGTCACGTACAGTTTAGCAGCAGTGAATGAACCTTCCTGTACATCCTGCTCTCTGTTATCACCATGCAGTGAGCTACATGTCAGTTAGTACCACAGATTATGTATCTTTTAGGGAAAATAAATAGTACACTACATGTTAGACTCCTAACCGAGTTGGAGTACTGTTGGATGAAATAACTTTAATATAAATCTACTTGTATAAAAGTACGATAGCCATCTTTTAAATAGAAAAGGGCCAGTGTGGTATCCTGACAACCATTTCAGTATTTATACACTTTTACAATTAAATAGTTCTTTTCAAAGGGAGCTTTGTGAGAAAGCTGAACTCAAGAGAATGCCTTTACAAGAGGAAAATATCTGAATGGAATGACCTCCTGATTGTCCCATACTTTGTAATTCTGCTTAATTTATAATCTTGCCTCAAACGGTATAGATTGAAGAATAACCTGTTCAAATATAGTGTAATACTTGAGCCTGTTTTCTCACGTTCAGCAAATAAATCTTGAGAACTTGTGTCTGATAACCTTTATCTTTCCTGTTACAGTTCTTTGGGATGCTGAGCGTGTGTGTGATCACTTGTAAATCTGGCAGCCGGAGGAGTGGCTATCAGCCTCTCTATGCCTGAACCACTTCCCGCAACTACCTACCACCCCGTCATTTTGCTTGACAAAGGTTTTGCTGACCACTTACTCTGCGGTGTACAGAAGCATCCAGGCCAATCATTGTACAAATCTGAGTTTTATTTAACTAATAAGCATAATAAGCATGCACAAGTGGCAAGCCTTGTCACGTCCAAAGGGGATCATACCACAACATTCCTCAACAGGTGAAATCAGGATAACTGTTTCTCTGACTTGTTAAATCATTTTTGCTGAATGTGGACATGGCTTTCAATTTTTATTTGTTGTATAAATTTCCCTCTTTGGAGATTTATATGATAAAGTTTCTGTAAGAATCCTGCACTTTCACAGCCCAACTACGGCCTTCCTTTGTGCCGACACATGTGATACATTACACAATAACACAAGATTGTTTCCTGAAGGCCTTACACTCTAAAGCGTCTTTTAGTTTCTAATGCTCCCTGTAAACCTAGGACAGCTGCAATGAAGAGAAACTTGTAAATCTTGGCGAGCCTTCTCACTCTGCTGTATCATGTAGATATTCTTTTAAACAGCCTATTCTTTAGAATGTACTAAAATGAAGGACTTCAAACTATATTTTAATCTTTTTTTGTGATTGTGAATGAAAGGACAGCTGTTCATTGCCTTATTTAGGTACATATATGTAAAATGTTATGTCATTGGTTGTGTTTATTATGTTTCTAAATTAAAACATTCCCAAAACGCAGTTATACAACATTCTTGTATTGACTTCTTGTATGTGTTTTGTGTGTTTAACATTTTGTATTTCAGACTATTAAAATCAGTCTTTATAGATGGAACATACTGACATGTAAAACATATTATGTGTTATTATGAAATTAGAGGAGGGAAAGCAAACACTCCGGTCTAATCCTGTGGTCTTTCTTTTTTTTTCTTTAGCTACTTAGGGTTATTACATGAGTGTACGTTCATAGCATCACATTAAGCGAGACCCTCCGTGGTTATCTGTCTCACCTCCTGACTCTGCTGATAAAGAGGCCCTTAGAGCCGTACATATAGGAGTGTTCATCATACATAAGCCCGTGTTCAAAAAGATATAAATATAAGGAAAATATAAACTCATGTCCAGGTGTGTCATACTCATCAGTCATCACAGAGCACACATTAAAGGATAGATCACCCACTGATGAGGCTGTAGATGCATTAGTTTAATTAAAACTTCAGTTATACACCAACCTTTTTCATTAATGATTAATTCAAACCAGCTATGTGTCAATTTCATTTTCTCTTCCTTTGCAAGCCCTAGCCCCTGTAATGGTCTATTAACATCAACTGCAACAATTTATCAGGCATCATCGCATTTTGTTGCTGTTGAATGTTTAGTTGTAGAAACAAAGATATTCCTGCAGGTGGTGTTAAAGAACCAGCTCTGAGTTTAAAGTCAAAACCAGTAGTTGTTCATAGGGCCAAAAACTCCTAATATGCGCACTCTATAGGGGTAATAGAAGATGGGATGACTGTCAGAGGCCGTAAGAGTGATGGATAGAAGATATAGTTCATGTTTTGTTCTTCAGTTATTGTATTTATCTAAAAGGACAAAATACATGAATGCAGGAAGGTACAATATTATTTTCAGATGTTTTCTGGAATCCTTTATCAACAATGATTTATCTACTTGACATTGCCAAAACTTTCATGTCACTTGTTGCTTGTACTTGTTTCCAATGTATTGCTCTACTTGGTGATTAACATCTCCTGTGTGCGCTGCTGTATTAATGACACCCGCTGGTGTAAATGACCCTGTTGCCCTGTCTCAGTCTGTGTCTCTCTCATATCTCTCGACTGCATATCGTATTCAGCGCATATCCTCATTGCTCTGGGCCGTGTTGACATTTAGACAGGCCAGTCCTTTCAGAGAGAACTGTTGGCACACGTACGGCTAGATAACCTTGTCTTCTCTTAGACCTGTTTTCCTCCCTCCTTCCACAAACTGTCTGTTTCTCCTGTCTCTCTTTCCCTCTCGCATCTTATTTTTCTCTGTCAAGTGTGTCGGTTTCTCAGCTCACCTTTTCTCTCTTGTCATGCGACTTTCTCTACCTGTTTCTGTTTTACATTTAAGGGTGTATTTGCATCTCTGTGCTCTTACCAAGACCACCCATCTAGTTTTTCTCTTCTGTGCCCTTGTTTTTCTCAATGTCCCTCGCTCTGTAGTGTCTCGAGAGTTAGCCCTTGGTATCAGGTGGTGCAGCAGGGAAGATAGTGCTGTTTCTTGGTAATGCTGTTTTTTTTCAATAATACAAATCAATCTGAACAGAGCAGCTGTCTTTTGAAGTACAATATCACTAAATTTTCAGTTATGCAAGAAACCAAGAAGATTTTTGTTGTTTATTATTTTCTGTTCTCAAACGTTGACAGCTTGCTTTATGCAGGCCAGCGAGGCGAAGGCTTTGACAGTAAATTGAGGCCCTGAGACTGAGCTAGCATGAGGTTTGAATTTTCTTCAGTGTTTTAAAACAACCATTGTGTTCAGCCATCACTTTCGGTCACCTTATAAGGTAAAAACAAAGAACTGAAAGGGGTTGAATTCACTGGGGAGTTGCCTGTATGTTATGAGTTGGCATTGTAGCATGTGCTATTCCCTCGTGAGTCATCTTTGCACACCTACAGATGTCCCCCCCCCCCCCCCCCCCCCCCCCCCCAGTCTGTCTGTCTCTCTCCCCTTTGGGCCATCACCTCTCTGGGAAAAAAAACATTCAGGACAAACACACGCGGAGCGAGTCGACTGAGCCAGATGTTCTCACAGGGAAATTTCAGCCTGACCTCTAATTTATTTATGTCCTTCCCTACTAAGACAGGGATCTGTTGGAGGGAGGTAATCTGAGGAGGACACACACAATACTGCTGCTCTGTGCTGAAGGTAGATGGACAGAAGGGCAGGTAGGCAGGCAGTTTATGTGTGTCTGCGTAGAGATTTGAGGACTCTTCTCCTGCAAATTCCTTCATAGACTCGCATATCATTTCTAATACTAAATGCATTTTCTGGTTTTGTTTTGTTTTGTTGCATATTTGCCAGCTTTTACATCAAACAAGTCACAAAGAAGAAGTCACTCTGCTTACCATGAACAGTTTGCTTTTGAACTGTACGCCATGGTAGATTATAGGGAATGTTTGCTTTATCATAGATATAATAAGAACAAAGAAGGAGCTTTTCTCCTTTTCATGAAACAAAACAAATAGGGAACCAGTGTGTCATGGTTTTATTTGAATTTCTCCTCTTCCTTCTCAGGCCAGACCCATAAATAATGACCACACATTGTCAAGACCAGGAGCAGGTGCTGCTGACAACATACATGCCCGTGTGTGTGTGTGTGTGTGTGTGTGTGTCCTCTCTGTAAATAGCCACCCACCACCAACACTGTGATGTCTCTATTTGTCAGATGCTATCAGTGTAATTAGAGGGGGCAGAAAATGCAGAAGAGGAACCGACACTGACACAGAGAACAAATGATCAAAAGAATCAAATGAGCAGCAGCAGTATCAAAGAATCATCCATATTATCTATAATTTTATAAACTTAATCTTCACAGCTCAAGTCTTTACAAGAGATATTCGAAGTAGCCGAACTGCTTTTTTCTCTCGTTCATCTTCCCCTTCTCTTTTTCTTAACTCTTACATCTTCTTTTCTATCTGTAGTACTCCATTTCTCTTTTATTCCTGGTTTCCTGGTCACAGATGTCCCAAAAGACTCATAAAATTGGTAACAAGAGGTTATTTTTGCAACTTTAGCTGGTACATTAGAACACAGTTCTGTTGTAAATAACGACAGGTTGTGATGTTGCAATGTTTAAGAAGCTTTGTTAGTGCAGTAGAATAAAAATACACACAGGAGACACCAGAAAGTGTTGTTTTAATGCCTTCGTGCTTGTGGATACACTTCTGAACTGCACCACCCATTCATGACAGAAGCATATATCACAATAACAACACACTGACGTAGAGACTAAAGACCGACTGATGAGTCTACAGTGACAGTTTTTTGATGTGAGCTGAGTGATCATGAGGGAATAGCTGTATGTCATTTTAAGAACACTGAGCTATTTTGAAAGGCAAAGAAAAGATTTGATCTTTGATCTTCAGCTTTCATGTTACCAAATAAAAACATCTGGACTTTGCTCTGACGCAAAAGCAACAAAAGTATTTGACAATTTCCTCTCCACTGCATTCAACTTGTAACCACGTCTTATCTTGCCAGCACACAGGAGAAGGAGCAGATACACGTATGTACAGTTAAAAGTCTCTTTGAATCCAGGCAGCTTCCCTTTAGTCCCCTCATACAGGGGGGTGCAGGACTTACATAGTTGTTTGGGATGGGATGAGCATTACTCTGTCACTTTCATTTTTTCCAACAGCACTAGCTCTCTCTGATTACATCCTCCCCTCTGTAATCACAAAGGAACCACTGAACCATCATCTAGCAGGCTGGCATCTGCCTCACCCTCTTCAACAAAATTCAACTAAAAGGGTCCAGTGAAAGAATGTAAAAAAAACTGTGAGCTCTTCATGTTGGTGAGAGACTAGAGAGATATCTTTAATACCTACTATCAAGGTCACAGGATGACGTGGACACCAGTTCCCTTAGACATCCCCCATTCTGTTTTTCATTTTCACCTATGTATATCATTTAATTAAATCCAGAACTATCCCTGTAACTCCTCATCACTCTTCTCACTGACGGAGCCATAGGATCAGTGTGTCACTTAACCCTGGGTTCATTACATTGGGTGACTCTTGGGTCTCTGTTGTCTCTACAGCCTCTCTGTTAATCCTGTAGCACCTCTGCATAATCGTGATTACATCCACCATGGCCTGCCTTCTCTTTCTTTTTCTTTTTCTCACTGTGCTGACTCTCATCAGAAACCTAACCACCCTCTACTAACCACAGGCTATTGGACTTTGTAAGTCAACAGGGTGATTATACGATACTGTACAGCCATTAGACATTGCAAACATTGGAGAAGCTTCTTTTTTTTGCGATGCCTCCATCCCGCACAGTGTATCAGGTTCACATATCTTTCTGGGGTTTGCAGAAGTGGTTTTGGGAAAGTAAGAAATCACAAACTGAATTATTAGTCTTAGAACTTCATAATGTTGGAATATGACATACCAGTGATATTTCAAATTGTAAGAGTAGATGTTTCCTTTATTATTTTCACAGTTGTGTCTTTAGTTCTATCATGTTTGTAATGATCATTGACCTGACAGTCAGAGATAAGCTATAGCTGGAATCTGATGAAACTTTCAAACTGGGGTTTTGGCCAGTAAAGTGTAAAATGGTTTCATTTCATCATGAGTATAGTGAAGACTAGTAACAGACAAGAAATAATAATAATAATATTTTCTTTCATTTTCTTTTCTTTTTATGGTAATAAAAAAGTTGCATATTTTACTAAACAGTCTTTTCCCATTCACTTCCCAAACTTTGAATACATTTTGGAAACCAGTATTGTAGCTTTTACTCTACAACATTTATTTGATCATGTTAGTCCCTGGTTACTTTGCAGATTCAGATTATTCATACAAAACATAAATCAACTACAAAAATAATCACATATTACAGTAGAGCTACTTAGCACCATAAAATAGTAGCTTAAGGTAGGTCCACCTTTACCAGCTATTTAAGGCGCCTTTCTCGGCACTCAAGAACACCTTACAGGGATGCAAATTACATCAATTATTATATAGGATATATGTATG